GTTTCTTCCACGAAATGCTGGTAATGCGTCACCGTACAAACGTCCCATGTCTTGGGCGTAAATAATAAAATACAACCTCCGTTTGTTCGCGATCAACACAACATTTTATAAATTGTCAAATGTAGGTCCATATCACGAAGGAAACTGGCCATGTACGAATTCAGACAAATGTGTAATTTGCGAGAAACCCGCGAACTAAAAGCGAAATGTGATAGATGGGCCGAAAGTACTGCATAACAATGCACAACAATTCTGTCTCGACCCATATAGAGCGAAATTGATTTCGCCCTGACTGTTACTGCTGGATATACTCTGTCCTACGACAAATGTGAATGTACTTACCGCTTCCCTTCTGTTCCATTGCGCGTAACAGACCTGATAACAGACGAAATTGTGTGGTAGAAAGTGTAAAATACGTGTGTTTACAGCAAACGTTTCCGCCAGACGTACCACCCGATGTTGGTTTATTTTTTATGTGACGTCAGCCATCGTTTGCACATGCGCAGTACGGTCAAGTCTCTGAAAGAGATACTAGTATGTAAGTTTGCCCAAATCCGTGCCGTGCGAGCGAAGTTGCAAGATTGCAGGCGGATCCATATTGACGATTGCGAGTTCGCAGGCAGCTCCATATTTACGAATTCGCTGTGGACACACTGACATACATTTGTCATCGTTACTTTTGGTAGCATTTATTTATCAAGTATCATATTGAATAAATTACGAATATATTTACAACATCTCCTGCGTTCGGACTACGTACACGTGATTTATTTTACAGATGCGTAATACAACCACGCTTACTAGTAACCGTAATGCAACATAACAACCGAGCACGCCACTTACTTTACCACTACATGTACGTATGTTATATTAAGATAGGATATTTTAAGAACCACCTCCCCCATCTTTTGTAGTGTACCCCCATAATATGTCGCATTAACGCGTTCTGCCGTTCTTTAGTAGTTTTTGTGGCGGTATTTTAGTCATTTCTGATACATTTTGTGCCCTTAATTGTTTTATTTTCAGATATTAGGATTCTTATCGACACAAGAAAGCTATGGTTCCTTCCATAGACTTGTTTAACACAAACGTGAGACCCCAAATGTTTGAAGTTGTTTTTCCTGGGATTTACCTCGCTAAACCGTACGTAACTCTAGTGCCATTTTCTTGAGGTCGAACGAGGACAAAATTACTTTGCTAAATGACGTCACTGTATTAGAACTTTCCTCAGCTGGGAAAGAGGAACAGCTAAAAATGTCACGAAATGCTCGTCCGCTGCTATTAGTTGTTTGCTATGGATTTCGTGACATTTCCTTGCATCCTACATGCATGGGAAGACATTTATTTGCACAGTACTAAAACAAATGTGGGTAGTATACGCAGGTGTAGGCGACATGTTCGCTTTATACCTTCTCCTGTGACGTCACACTGTCCTCGTTCGACCTGAATAAAATGTCTGCCACTAAATCCTGGGTAAAAGAACATCAAACTAATGGTTTTTGTCACGGTTGTGGCTTTGGTAAGACTTTAATAAAAATATTATCGATTGTGATAGTTTCGATGGTGTGATGCGAGAAAATATTCTGCTTTTGTGGACTTTTATTTGCGATGCCATTTGGTGTCACACTTTTGTGTTACATAAATCACAGTCCCTCAACAAGCCACAGTCCCTGTTGACTGTGCGCAAGAGTATGAGAGGAACCGTACGCGTCGCTCTTCTGTTCCGATACAAATCCTAATATCTGAAAATAACAAATTTAATGACCCACAAAATATATCAGAAATGACTAAAATACCACCTCAAATACTAAAGACCGACACAAGAAGAGCTATGGTTCCACAGCAGTGTTTGAAAATTGTCAAAATGGTTTACCAGACAACAGGGCGAGTAACTTTAAATCCTGTTTTGCAAAAATTTTACAGGCCCTGTTTAGATTTGCAATGATTTATTTATTTTCAATCGTTTCGCTACATTTCATTCACTCAGTGTCACTGCAGTGACTTTCATTCAAGTCAGAAAAATCTGATTCATAATCTGAGTGAGCATCTACATCAAGATAATCTAGTAACAATCTAGTAATGCAAACGGCTATTGTCTAAGGTGTGAATTACCCGCTGTGCTCGGACAGCGCTGGGTATGGCTTTCCGCGAAGCACAGTCTCTTGATAGCAGAGCATTCTATTAAACGATCGATTCGTTGTTCGTGGGTCTGTTTTTTCTTTCTTCAAATTAAATCATGATATTACTAGTACCCAGTTAAATCGTGGAAGATAATATTGCCTTCCATGGTTATAAATATTCTCATAGAGTGCACTTAGTCAAATATTTCAACATATTTTGAACAACCTCTTACAAATTCATACCTGATAAAACCCACTCGCCCAAAACGTCGATGAGTTCTTCTGTTGAGTTGTGCAAATGCCGACTTCTTCCCGTGATGCAATGCGCGAAACCCCGAGAAAACGTTCCAAAGTCGCGCACGTTTTCTATTCGAGGTACCGAGAATTACTTGCTCACTAAAGTACCACACCTATTCACAAGTCACACAGCTTAAGAGCGTTTTCGGTTAGGGGCGACCATTTGATATCCTTGGAGG